TTTGTATACATTGATTTCGGTTCTTTGTGCTCTTCATTTGTAGCTTGCGATGCTTTAAAACTGTGTCTGTTATTAGTTGTTATCATTTGTTGAATACACCACTGCCTGCAACAAATGAAATAAACCTATATAAACGTATCTGTGCACATTTTTTTTGTATACTGGTATGATGATCCATGTCTTAACTTACCCCGTTCAACATTCTCCATGCTGTCTGGTTGTGAATTGTCTGCAGTCTGGTTGTAAAAATATCTTCTATCTATCTTTTTCATGTTTCCAATGTAAAATATTTAAACCTTTTTACAAACAAATAGAAATGTACAAATTAAGATTATCACAAGGTTTAAGGTCCCATCTGCACAGTGAAACCAAAAATCCCAGAACACCTGGATGATTACAGCTGGTTTCTAATAGTAGTGCAAATCCAACTACCATTTCAATTATTTGTTTTTATGCTCTTCTGTTACCTTTTAAGTTTTGAATCTTCTGGCAATGAATGAAATAAAGTTCATCACCATATCAGTGGCATAATAAACTTTTTGCAACCTACAGTGATGTTATTCTCTGTCATCTGTTCTTTGACCATGTGTTGCACTGTACCTGGATGATACACGATGATCATTGATAAAAATGCATGGTCTATTTTGATGCACAACAAACACTCATGCAACATTATTTATAGGCTAAGTCATAAGCATATATATATCCTTAATTAGTCTTTCTTGTTGTTTTTTTGTTTTTTACATAAATTGTTCCCTCCTGGGGGAATGACCTGACCAACTCAATCCGAGCAGCTGAGTGCTTAGCCATCTTCAAGAATCGGCTAAAAACACATCCCTTCCATCTTTATTTGACCCTCTAACTCTAGCACTCTCAATTCTAATTCTATTTGATCTATTTGTTGACTTGACCCTCTAACACATGCACTCTCTATTCGTTTTCCAACTGCTTTTCTTTAAAAAAAAAAGGCCTCTAACACTAGCTTTCTCTATTCCTTTTCTATTCTATCTACTTGTTTTCTTTTTGTTATGTGTATGTATGTGTAAAGTGTCTGCTAAATGACTACATACAACATGCATGCATGCATAAATAAATAAATAAATAAAAAGGGCCTCTAATTACAAAAAATAAAGTGGAATAAAGATTGGATTGTGGCCTTTATTAGCTAGTGATAAGATGTTGGTAAAATGTGTGTTGGTGTGGTTGTTGATATTAAGTGAGAGAGTGACATTTTGTTTTTAAAAATATGAATTCAATAGTGATTCACACTCAAAATCCAAGAAAATTATATTCATGGAGGATGCGAAGTAACTTTTTTCTGAATTTTGAGCATGAATCATATTGAATCCTTGTTACAAACTAAAAAGATTTATGTACCAAAACAAGACAACATAGGAGACAAGAGAGTGTGATGTTAACGTCCTTGTAGAATCTGCCATATAAAAATATTACATAATAAAGCTAAAAAAAATAATTTCTTAACTTGATTCTGGCATTTGTTACATGATATTACCATTCAAAAGTTTGGGATTACTATGATTTTTTTTTTTTAAAGAAATTTATACTTTTGTTCTTCAAGGATGCATTAATTTAATAAAAATGACAGTAAATGTAAATGACACTTATAATATAAAAAATGCTCTTCTGAACTTTCCATTCATCAAGGAATCCTGTCGCTGTATAATGGTTTCCACACTTCATTAAGCAGTACAACCATTTTCAACTGTGATAATAATCAGAAATGTTTCTTGTGCAGCAAATCAGCATAATTAGAATGATCTCTGAAAGATCATGAGACACTAAAGAGAAGTTGAGATCTGACATCATAGAGGGGGAAAAAATTATTTTAAATTGTAAAATTATTTCACAATATTAATGTTTTTCAATATTTTTTATCTGATAGCCTAAATGCAATTGGTGAACATGAACAAAGAACCTTACTAATACAAATCATTAGAACAGTATTGTATATATCATATCAAAACAAGCACAAGCACACTTATGAACATTTGTTAATAAAAATTATTTTTAACATGAAATTGCTTATTCCATT